ACACTCCTCACTCCACACTTTACACTCCTCACTTTACACTCCACACTCCACACTTTGCACTTTACACTCCTCACTCCACACTCTACACTCCACACTCCACACTCTACTCTCCACACTCTACACTTTACACTCCATACTCCACACTCTACACTTTACACTCCGCATTCTACACTTTACACACTCTACACTCCACACTCCACACTCTACACTCCACACTTTACACTCCACACTCCACACTCTACACACCACACTCTACACTTTACACTCCACAGCTCCCACACTCCTACTACCCACCACACTCTACAGCTTTCGCCCTCCAACACACCGTCTACACGCCTACCCCCACTACATTCTAACACTTTACACTCTACACTTTGCACTCTACACTTCACACTCTACAATTTACAAACTCCACACTCCTCACTCCACAGTTTACACTCCTCACTTTACACTCCACACTCCTCACTCCACACTTTACACTCCTCACTTTACACTCCACACTCCTCACTCCACACTTTACACTCCTCACTTTACACTCCACACTCCACACTTTGCTTTTTACACTCCTCACTCCACACTCTACACTCCACACTCCACACTCTACTCTCCACACTCTACACTTTACACTGCATACTCCACACTCTACACTTTACACTCCGCATTCTACACTTTACACACTCTACACTCCCCACTCTACACTTTACATTCCACACTGCCGACTGGCAACAAGGGAACATGTACAAGACTGTTCAAATAAACTATTGCAGAAAGGTATTGTGCGTGACTGCATAACCATGTGTATTGACATCTGTACCATTAACATACGTGACGTGTGAGCATTCGGGTTCGTGGGCTTCATCTTGTTTTTCGCTTTGGCGTCGAGATCCGGTTTTGGAGCTGCAACTCCTGTTGTGATTATGTACAAGAAAGCTTCTCTGTGTAAAAACATTTTTCTGTAAAAGCTTGCTGGGTGTAAAAGATGTTGTGTGTAAAAGCTTGCTGTGTGTGAAGGCTTCTCTGTGTGTAAAAGCGTCTCTGTGTAAAAGTTTCTGTGTGTGTAAACGCTGGCCATGTGTAAAAGCACTGTGTGTAGGTGTTCTGTGTGTAAACGCTTGCTGTGTGTGAAAGCTTGCTGTGTGTAAAAGCTTCTCTGTGTAAAAGCTTGCTGTGTGTAAAAGCTTCTCTGTGTGTAAAAGCTTCTCTGTTTAAAAAGCTTGCTGTGTGTGTAAACGCTTGCCATGTGTAAAAGCACTGTGTGTAAGCGTTCTGTGTGTAAACGCTTGCTGTGTGTGAAAGCTTGCTGTGTGTAAAAGCTTCTCTGTGTGAAAGCTTGTTGTGTGTAAAAGCTTCTGTGTGTAAAAGCTTCTCTGTTTAAAAAGCTTGCTGTGTGTAAAAGCTTTTTTGCGAAAGAACTTGCTGTGTGTAAAAGCTTTCTTTGTGCAAGCTTTGTATCACAAAGTAGTGCTGGAGCGTACTTTGTGCAAGCTTTGTAGTACAAAGTAGTACTGGGAAGTGCTTTGCGCAAGCTTCGTAGTACAAAGTAGTACCGGAAAGTACTTTTTGCAAGCTTTGTAGTACAAAGTAGTACTGGGAAGTGCTTTGTGCAAGCTCTGTATAGACAGTAGTACTGGGAAGTAGTTCGCGCAAGCTTTGTAGTACAAAGTAGTACTGGGAAGTAGTTTATGCAAACTTTGTAGTACAAAGAGTACTGGGAAGTGCTCTGTGCAAGCTGTGTAGTACAAAGTAGTACTGGGAAGTGCTTTGTGCAAGTTTTGTGGTACAAAGTAGTACTGGGAAGTGCTTTGTGCCCTCTTTGTAGTACAAAGTACTACTGGGAAGTGCTTTGTGCAAGCTTTCTAATACACTCAAGAAGAACTTAGCTGACATATGGGAAGACATGAAATGAGATGAGAAGAGCTCAGATGAGATGAGTTGAGATGAAGTGCAAGTGTGAAGTGCGAAGTGCAGGGTGTGAAGAGTGCAATGTGAAGTGTGAGGAAAGTGTTTGCTTGGCGTTGCATTGCACCGGGGTCGCGCGCAGGTCATGTTACATGTTCTTGGACTAAAACACTGCAACAGCTTCGCACAAAGCGCGCACGCACGGGCCTGGCTGCCGCACGGCGCATGCAAGTTCCTTAGTAGTACTGGGAAGTGATTCATGAAAGCTTAGATGACATATGAGAAGAGATGAGATGAGAAGAGATGAGCTGGGATAAGGTGAGAAGAGCCCAGATGAGATGAAGTGTGGAGTGTGAAGAGTGCAGTGTGAAGCGTGGGGCGTGAAGAGTGCAGTGTGAAGTGTGGAGTGTGAAGAAAGCAGTGAGAAGTGAGCAGTGTGGACTGTGAAGTGTGGAGTCTTAAGAGTGCAGTGTGAAGTGAAGTGTGGAGTGCGAAGAGTGCAGTGTGAAATGTGACGTGTGGAGTGTGAAGTGTGAAGTGTGGAGTGTGAAGAGTGCAGTGAGAAGTGTGAAGTGCGAAGCGGAGCTTCAAATGTGACATGTGAAACAGGACACCACTTTCGCAGAATGCACGCACGCACGGGCTTGGCTGGCGCACGGCGCATTCAAGTTCTATAGATGAGAAAGGTCTTCTATATCCCTAAGGCAACTTCCGCCCCGCCTCGTGCGGGTACTACTGGTAAAACCATCATAAACCATGTCAAAACCATGTCAAAACCATCATCATCCATATTAACAACATATCAAAACCACCATAAACCATATCAAAACCATATCAACACCATATTAAAACCATCATAAACCATATTAAAACCATGTAAAACCACCATACACTCCCCATCAACTCCAGGCTCTCACAGCCCTCTGAATGAGCACCAAGCTACGGTGCAGGGGCCTCCTCGAAGACGTATTGATAGACCACGGGGTTCACTAAAATCTCACCAGCCTTGGTTTCGATGGTTTTATGGTGGTTTCATGGATGTTTTATGGTGATGGCTTTATGGTAGTTTTGCGGGTTGTATGGCGTTTCTTTTGTTGTTTTATGATGATTTTATTCGGTTTCATGGTGATTTCATGGTGATTTTATGGGGTTTTATGGCGATGTTATTCAGTTTTATGGCGATTTCATGGTGATGTTAGGGGGGTTGATGGTGGTTGATGTGCCTTGGTCCAGAGTGACATGAATTGGTTGAGTTTCCCATGGTTCCAATGGATTGGTTTGCAGGAAATGTATGGTAAATCACCATGAACTATGGTTGACATGTCCCTTGCTTTTGATGGTGCTTCATGGTCTGGTCAGATGGCGACATGGCGAAATTTGTGAGAAACTGCTAGGATTCAAAGATGATGAAGGGAACATTTTCAGTGGAAGCCCATCGTTCATGGGAAAATCCATGGTTTCGTTTCCGGCAAAGATTTCCCAACAAAGCCAATCCATTGAAAGTTGTAAGATTGGCTGCCGCACCAGCCTGATGCAACAAATCATGTCGAAGCTTGGATGAATCGTGGTCGTGGCATTTGAAGTTTTGGGAGGATTGGTCGTGGATGATTGTGAGAGGTGCAGGTCCCTTAAGGAGCCGCATGCTCTAGTTGTTCCCTTGTAAAACGGGCGTCGACAGGACAACCAAACCACGGCCCACTGGCAACCCCCCGGAAACACCTCACAGGGTTTCACAAAGGAAGTGATGCATGGATCACGTGACACCAAGATTGCCTCAATGGATGTGTGCAAGTCAGCTCCAACAGTTTTCACTTCTTCACTTTCACGAGCCCTTTCCACCAAGAGATTATCGGCTCATCACCAATTTGCCCTGGCACTTCTCCTCCATTGAGCACTGTGCCAAGGTGAACTGTCGGGGATTTGAAACCAGCTGTTGTCAATGGCAACTGGGATCCAAGTCAGGATCTAAGGCACAGAAACCCGGGATACCTATGGTCTCACAAAATTTGGCACCCAATCGAGGTATGAATCATCCGTGTTTAGATCTAGATGTTATGTATATCATTTTGAGCCAGTGTTACGAGTGTTGACAGCCAACAACTCCATCGTTGTTTTGTTATTTTTCACCTTTTTTTTCCGGATAAAACATAATAAAGCTTACTTAACTATTTAGGGTGTCATGTTTTAAGTATGTCATAACCAACTATAACCAATTGTTTACTTGCAATGATTATGATTTTACTCCATGATTTTGAGCCATCCCGATTTTTTTTGGATGTCACCATCTTTCGTCACTACCACACCATCCCAGCGCTGAGCGCAAAGGAACCGCTGTGATTGGGCAAAAATGATCAGGTATAGCTGGGTAGCCTAAATCCAAAGGCTTATAGAAGTCCAATGAACCCCATTGATCTCCAGCAAAAAAGTCAGAAATCTATAGAAATCTCACCGAATTTGCACTCCTTTGTGCCCTATTTGGTGGCCAGACATGAAAAGAACCTTTTGGCCAATTCGGCTGGTCATTTTTCCAAGGCACACCGGTGAGGAACATCGGAATGCCCATCCAAAAGGCGGACCTGAAGCAGGACATATCGATTTGTAGTAACCCCCAAAAAGATAGAAGTTGGTAAAATCCCATGAAAGTAGTTGAATTATACTGTTCTGTTTTTTTTGGGTCTGCTAAACTCCATCCGAACTTGGGTTATGATCTTCCAATTGTGCATTTTGGAGAACAAACACAAGAGATTGATCAGCAAGTGTTGAGAAATTCGTGGTCTGCCAACAAACATCAGGATGATATATCAGGATTTTAAGTAGAAAAGAACAGACTAAAAACTGGGTGGTGGTATACCAACCCCTCTGAAAAATATGAGTTCGTCAGTTGGGGGTACTATACCCAATATATGGAAAGTCATAAAATTAATGTTCCGAACCACCAACCAGAAAGAATTTCACCATAGCATCCGTGATCCTGCCCTATTCACCACGTCTACCATTCACATGGCTAATCTGAGACACCCCAAGCGCTAGCCAGGTGGCATCCGCGTCATGGGAAGGGAAGCACCAGGAGAGCATTTGGAGAGCCTCCAGCGATTCATGAATTTTCTCGAAATGTGTAGCAAAAGGTCTTCCAACTGTCCAACTTCGTCTTGGTAAATCTCGCTTTTTGCCAGGGAACAGGTACCCATTGGAACAGCTGCTGCTGCCAATTAGCTCCTGGCACCAATGATTGCATGATCTAAGTTTGTATCGTCATCATACTATGGATACATACTGTATATTACTGTATGAATAGTAGTCATTTTTGATTAAACTCCCAAACAGCTCCAGTTGAGTGACTTCATGTGTTTGGATATCTTGTAATATTTGTTATGAAACTTGGCAAAAGATGGCCAGAAAAGTTATGTTCTAGACCATTGGATTTAGGAGTACCTTCTCTTTGGATAAAATATGACAAACCGAAATTGGTAAAGGTACACGAAACATATTGGTTAAATGCCAATCTGATTGCTAGTTTCAACCCACCTCATTTTGTCATCCCAAATAGGATGGGGAAATGAACAGTTGCTAAAACCACCGATCAGCAAGTGTTTGATAGTCAAAAACCATGTCTTAGGAAGGAACCCTTAGCTAGGTAAGTTGGTTTATCATAGGCTAACACTCAGTTGGATGGGATCTTGAACATGTTGAAAACAGTTTACAACTCGGTAGATCCAGATTTTGCTGGTTCAAACCCTATTTTTGTGCAAGGTGAGACCCCCGCAGTTATGTTGGTTGGTTGGTAAGATGTTATAAGCACCACAAAGTATCTTGTTGGTGGTTTCAAGCCCTCTGAAAAATATTAGTCAGCTTCCCAATATATGGAAAAATAAAACACGTTCCAAACCACCAACCAGTTGTATAGCCTTTGAATCCAATGGTTTACCAAGTTATGTGCGTCAACTTGGCTATTGAACAGGGCCGCTTAGATGGATCTTTTCCGGGGACGATGTAAAATCAGTCCTCTGGGCACAAGACAAAATCGGCCACTTCCGCTGTTGACTTTGAACGGCGTAGGTGTTCCAGTAGGGCAGCCTCGCACGTTCAGCGAACAAAAACAACGTCAACTTGATGGATGTTGAGGTTTCGGTTGCTTGATTTTGGTCGAGCTACTACGTTGCTTCGCTAGGTGGTATCAGCATTTAGAGCAAAAAAAGTTACACAAAATTATCCATACAAGGTTTCCCCTGTGAACGTGCGTGAACTTCGCTGGTTGATTATTTCAATGGCCCCAACATCACCAACCAGTTCCAAACCGCCAAACCACCCTTGGTTCGGGAGAAGATCATGCAACATACATGCAATAACAGCATCAAAAAATACATCCAAAAATCACTTTCAACACCAGTTTCTCTAGGCAAACCAAGAACCATCGTTTTGGAAAACCGAACGATCCATTTGCATATGTCTGAAAACGAGGTATATCTGCAGCCATTGAAACAGGGAATATGATGATTCACCATCAGATTTGGGGTACAATCCGTCCAGAACAGGATGCACATCGCCAGATTAAGGCCATCAAAGGGACGGATAAATTCGCGGCAATGGCGAAGGAAAAACCCAGAACCTAAGCTGGATGCAGAGTTGTGAAACCCCGAAATGTAGCCTTTGCTAAGGGGTCTAACGAACCCTGTATGGGTAATGGGGATTTTTGTTACGAGGCAATAGGATATTTCATCAGCACCCTATGGGTAGTGGCTCTGAAAATGGGGAATTTTTCCGAGGGAAAATGATGATAAACTATACGATCTTGAGGTACCCAACTTATATCTACTGGATACTTACTGGTAATTTAACATAGCTATTGAAAATGGCAATAGAATTAGTTGATTTACCCATTAAAAATTCTGATGTTTGATAGTTATGTTAGTTTACCAGAGGGTAATACGCTTGGTTTCTTGTAAAAGGTACCCATCCACTGAAAGTTGGATGCGGAGCTCCCAAAACTTGGATTTTTTCCTATGACCACGGACTGTCCCCGGCAACGGACTGTCCTAGCTGTTGAATATGGGCCAAACCATGCAGGATGGGGCCCCCAAGATAGATAAGTTGCTTTATAAAGTGGTTGAATTCCATGGTTTATGGTAGATATAACTATAGTTAATGGGGGTTATAATGGTATATAAACCAAGTTATCACTTGGGGGGCCCCATCCTGTGGGATTAATGGCGCCTTTTTGCAACATCCCTGGCGGATGATCCAAAGAGTCCACTGACCAGATCCGATGGCTGGTTCCGAGGCTCAGTCTACCAATGGTCACGTCACCCTGCAGCTCCCAAAATAGCTGGGATTTTTGGATGTTCATCCCAAAATGTGGCATAATGGGTCTTGATCCTTCCCCAAAACTGATGTTTTGTTGGTCTGACTCCTTTAAGGGGCTTCCATAAATGGGGCATACCCCAATAGCTGGATGGCTTAGAATGGTGGAAAATCGATCTATAAATGGAGGATTTCCAGGCTACCAGCCATAAGGGCCATAAGAAAACCATATATATATATATATATATGAGCAGGGACCCCCACACCCCTCCCCCCCCAGCCAGATGGTTCCCCCCCCCCTGTGGTAGGGGAGGGGGGGTTTTCTCAGCAGGCCAAGCCGATTGTTGATGGAGGAGGAGGAAATGGTTTTTTCTTGGCCGACATGTGTATATATATATATACATATATATATATACGTGCACAGTATGTACAATGTAAACGAAATATGTGATAGATACAAGATCAAGATATCAATATGTAGTATCTAGAATGTGCATATATATATATATTTATTGTTTTTCTACTGTACATATGTCTAGGTTTGCATAGGTAAGCTTTGCGTAATCCATAGGTAGCAAATATATGTTGTAAACCAGGTGCGAGGCACGCTATAGGCGGTTCGAAAAAAAGGTTATGATAGAAATATACAGGTAGACAAGGTCCGTTGACGAGGTCGTGGCTCTCAAGTGCTGCAAATAACGTAGAGATGCGAGGGTGGAGGGGTGGAAAGGGGAGTATATATGTGTATATGTGTATGTATATGTGCAACTAACATGCAAATACTAGGTTTTGGGGGGTGGGGGGGTTAGGAGTGGGGGGGGGGGGGGGGGGTTAGAGTGGGGGGGGGATTACCTTTGGGGGGGGGGGGGGTGTGGGGGTCCGGGGACCGGGCTCAATTATATATATATATACACATACCTGGTTGGTGGTATACCTACCCCTCTGAAAAATATGAGTTCGTCAGTTGGGATGATGACATTCCCAACTGAATGGAACCATAAAAAATGTTCCAAACCACCAGTATATATATATATATATGGCATTTGGATAATGTTAGTTCTGTATATCCCATGAAAAACACAGGGGAATTTCAGAACATTTCTGCTGTCAAGCTGCATATTTGGTGGATCGATTCAAATGGTATCCTCGATAGCGACGGATCGCAGGGAAAAGCCTCAGATCGCTGCGAGATATGGCCCCCCCCAGTGATGTGAATGTTGGTTTATATACCAGAACAAAACCCCGTGAACTAGTTCGTTATATCTACCACAAACCATAGAATTCAACCACTTCATAATGCAACTGAACGCTATCGAACGGGGGCCCCATCCTGTAGGTGAACCCCCCAAATGATAGCAAAATTCTTGTACATCACCTGGTGAACTCTATGGATTTTATGGAAACAAATCATAGTTCGTGGGGCTATGAATCAACTTATAACTAGGACCACTTTGTTGGGGAAAGGATAGAATAGGATGTAACCAATCAACCGGGTTATATATTTTTAATGGTTCGAGTTCACCTGCAAGGAACGAAGCGATGAAACTAGCAAACCCAGATTTACCTAGAATTCGTGAGTGATACTGTGGATAGAAGAAATCCTGCACCAGTTGATAGGTGGTGTATCCCATTATTTAGAGGACTTCAACCATCCAAGGTGGTGCAGGATTTCTTCCATCCACCGTAGCACCCGTGAACTCGAATATGTAATTATACGGGTTGCAGCTCGGGGAGTTTTTCAAAACACATGCTATAGCACCCTCCCAATTTTTCCGTGAGCTTACGAAAGTCAACTCCTTTGAGTAAAACCAATTCCAAATGCGGACTTTCGGTATAGCAAGAACAGGTTTCCATACTACAGGATGGGGCCCTCCAAGTGATAACTTGGTTTATATACCATTATAACCACCATTAACTATAGTTATATCTACCATAAACCATAGTTAAACCACTTATAAAGCAACTTATCTTGGGGGCCCCATCCTGTAATATGGAATTTCCATTATATTCCCAATATGTTTTACCATTCATTGATGGGACTATAATGGTTTTACCATAGTTTGTATCCAACCAAGGTTGATCCTGTGAAACTCACTACCCAAACAAAACCTGCCCCAGGGGCCGCCGCCAAGCGACACTTTTTCATAGAGAGGCACCAAGAGGATGATTCCTCGGGCACCGAGAAAAATTCCCCTGAAAAAATTGCGTATCAGAATGGTCATATAACCCCCCAGAAATGGATTAGCAGATTAGCATCCTCGCAGGACTGGGTATGCATCATTAATTCTAAACCCACTATAGTTTGTTAAAACCCATTGCATTCCTGTTATAAGATCATTGAACATCTAAATGAAACTCCCAAGAAAAACATATCCTACTGTTTTCATTGTATCCCATTAAACACATGTCATCGCAGTGTTCAAGATCCCTCTGTCATTCCGTTTTTTTCTGGTTGGTTGAGAACGGGATTCCCCTATTGGATTATGATAATGCCCACTATATTGGGTAGTATAATACCCGAACTAATCATCAACCAACCAAGGTTTTGAGTACTGCTCAGTCAGTCTGCTCAGTTGTTGATTGGGCTAGTCTGGAACCGTCTACATTTTTAAAGCTTCATAAACTTCACTATATTATGTCTTTCCATTTATTATAGATACATTAAAATTGGCTTAATAAACCATTGACAATATATGTATATATAAAAAATATATAGACATATTATCAACCATAAACATTTTATCATATTTTTTCTATATTTGTTATATTTTTATTATCAACCAGTTACATATATTTTCTTCAA